CTCACTTCTTCAGATGCAAGAAGTGAGGTTCTTACCCACGAAAGCTTATGCTCCCAATACTTCTGTTAGTCTTAAAGGTGCCACAGGATGCTCTGTTGCTTTTTACAGATTCAGACTAACACGGCTACCCCTCTGATACTTTAATTCTACTTAGTTACCCAGTTACTTAGTTTTTTAAAAAGCAGAAATCAGCACTGATCCTCTTTGTTTTTCACCCTATTACACTCCATCTCTCCGCCTTGTCAAAGCCATCAGGTGTTGCTTTCTTATATAATAAATTCTATAGCACTTACAGGTTCCACACACTCAAATTTCTTCCGTTCCTGTATCTCCTGCAGCTTGCACACATATTCAAGCGACAGCTCATAAAAGTGCTTTCTATTTTGCTCCACTTGGTAATCTGCCTACAGACAGAACAGAGCTGTTTTAGAGTTTTAGGTTTCACAGACATTATGCAGATAGCTTCAGAATGACATGTATACAGAGCTGAAGATGGTAAGTGATAAGACTCTCTAGACGAAGGACTAGCCCCAACAGTACACATCTTCATTACTGTAGTTTACTTTGGATACATTAACAGCAGTGCCTTTTACCATTTGCTTAGTTGTGTTTTGTTTCAGAAGGTGGAATGTTTTTGGAAACTCACATGACATTTCATTTTAATTGCAATGCAGATCACAAACATGTCAGTGCAAACATACACTGATTATTTAATATCACACAAGAGGGCCCTGCACAGACACAGAGAGGATAAAAAGACTCATACCTAAGAGATGCGAACTGCTTCCATTCAACCCTGGGTGGAAGTGTTAACACTGAAGGTTCTCTGTTACTGTCTGTATTGCTCCCCATCCCCAAAAACATGCTATTGCTCTGAAAACTCTGGAACGTTTCAATCTCCTCCTCTCCTGCCCATCCTGAACATGTATGAATTGTGATGGCAGACAGGATGATAATCTGTCTCCTATCTTACTTGCTGATTTGTCAAGGGTTTCTTTGATGCATTATACAGATATCTGTACTGTGTACCACTAGCAATAAAAGACAGTTTAAAAGAAGCCCACCCTTTATTCTGGGTATTAAACAAACCATATAGACTACAAAATATTGGAAATGTAATAAATGTAGCCTTAGTTCTGACCCATGCAGATGTATTAATATTTTGGAGTTTATAAAGTGCCAATGTCATACTGATCTCATGTATTAATTACATTTTAGCTACCATTCACTCCTATACAGGCGCAAATACGGCTTCATGCTATTAGGAGATTACTATAGGCTATTAATAAAGATACACGTGTCCAAGCCAAGTCTTCAACTGAAAAGGAACTGAACAATGGCTAACCCTTATTAAAATAAATTTGAGGAAAGGACATAGTGTCATTCCAATTGTTAAACGATCATTACTGAAGTCCTCCTCTGTGAAATGGTATCTAAGGCCTTCCAGGAGTTTCATAAAAGCCTCAAACTCCAGAGAAAGAGGAGGGGAAGGAAGGGAATGGAAAATAAAGGAAAAACGCAGACTTACAACCTCCAACTCAAAAGACTATCAAACATGGTTCAGGTACAACATTAACTACTGTGCTGTGCCAAAAATAGCTTCAAAATGTTTTGTATGTAAACAAAAACAAAAATCAATCCTCTATTGCTCTGTGCAAATAGTTTGTGAACTAAGACACACACACTGAATGATCACATTTTTAAAAAGAACCACACACTGTAGCCGTCTGCATGTTTGCAACATTAAGGAAACTGGTTTAAAAATAAATGGGTTAGTACCTAGAAACCTTATTAATGCATGGAATACAATTTATGTATGGTTTGCAAAGTTAGTCATGTCTATAATGCATTGTATGCAATACATAGCTATTTAGAATCATGAGATGTAGACATGCAAAGGGCCTCTTAAGTGATTGAGATGGGGTTTACTATCTATCTATGTCCCTTAGGACTAGGGTTACCCAGGTGTAGCCAAGGTCTAGCTCTCTATTAATTATTATTATTATTATTATTTTAGTGTTAAAGACCCCAGATGGCACTACACCCTGTCACAGACACCTAGTCCACCCCCTTGTCAATGAAGGATTATATTCCCTAAACTTTCTGAGGTATGAACTATGTCTTTGTTGGGGTACTGTACTTTGTTTGTACATCAGAGGTGCTGTACAAACAATATCTGCATCATGCCTTATAGCAGGGGTCGGCAACCTTCCAGAAGTGGTGTACCGAGTCTTCATTTATTCACTCTAATTTAAGGTTTCACGTGCCAGTAATACATTTTAACGTTTTTAGAAAGTTTCTTTCTATAAGTCTATAACATATAACTAAACTATTGTTGTATGTAAAGTAAATAAGGTTTTTAAAGTATTTAAGAAGCTTCATTTAAAATTAAATTAAAATGCAGAGCCCCCCCGGACCGGTGGCCAGGACCCAGGCACTATGAGTGCCACTGAAAATCAGCTCGCGTGCCGCCTTCGGCATGCGTGCCATAGGTTGCCTACCCCTGCCTTATAGTTTCAGGAACAATCCTACATTGACAGAGGCAGAAGCCCTGCCACAGTAATATAGCTACCACCCCAACACAGCACATTTTCTTGGTTTTGTCAAGTTCACTTTTAAATTTCTCATTTAAATGCATACTACATACACATAAAGGAAAGGACACAGAAAGCCAAGTGTATGGCTAATTTAGTAGTCAACTCCACCAATTTTATGCATACACGTTTCCTAAGCTTGTACAAAAGTTTTTTTTCCATTTAAAGTCCTATAGGCATTAAATAAAAGCACGTTTTAGCTGTTAAAATGTTTAGTATTCTGTTTTCTAACATTTCTAAAAACAGAAATGATAAGTTATATCTGACAAGTTTTAAAGAATATTTTTAATTGATAATAGAAAGAATTGTTGTGAGTGAACTTTGTATTTGAAAATTCAGTAAAGAAAATTAAATACATCTACTTTTACTTTCTATACTTTGAACAAGTGGTGCTGATACTGTTACTAGACCTCTGTTCAACACGGCTCTGAGGCTGCTCTCTTTGGAGTGTTCTGCATTTCCACTCAGGTGGTATCTCATCTCTGTTTTAGATGTTTACAAGTTTCCACTATAGGCCTATACAAAGGTGGAAAATAACACTTTCATTTTTCTGTATCAAGTTTTCTACGGTATCTGATCAACTTGGTAAGAACAAGTTCTACCCATGCTCCTACAAACACTTATGCACGTTCTTAAAGTTAAGCACATGAGTAGTTCCAAATGACTTCAATCAGACTACTCACCTGTTCAAAGTTAAGCACATGGAGACTTGCAAAATCAGGGCCTAACTTTCTGAGTAACACAACATGCAGGGATAATATGCTGATGAAATGCAAGTATGCGCTGGGTGCTCAAATTACTAGGTAACTGGCCGATTGTGAAAATGATTTATATGGAGGAGGCTGATTGGAACATTTTGTTCAGAAAAAACTTACATTTGGGGGACTTTTAAGTGCTGCTAAATATATGTAAAGCATGTAGAAACAAAAGAGAAAATTAAGAATTCTGGGAGATTTTCCTAATGTAAGCTAACCCTTCTTGTCTACAGAGGCTCAAACAAACTTCCTTTGCTCATTTTCTCATACCTTACTTACTGGTCCTTGAGAAATAGAAACTGACAAAATCTATCATGGACCACTGAGGGGACAGAAGGAATGCCAACAAAAACACAGGTTTATAAGTCTTGAGCTATAAAGACATCAACAATCTTTCCTCCTCTTGCGTAGCATCACTGGATAATGAGGTTCTCCAAGTTTTAAAAAATATCAGCATGCAAGCTGTTGCATTTAGCATTACATTCCATTATATCAATTGTCTAGCTGTCAACCCAATCTACATATTACAGTGTAAGCATATATGCATTGAAACCTTACTATAAATGCAGGTGTGTCCACACTACATTCATGCTTTACTACTCCTTCAACTGTCTGTAAAAGTAACAAAGCTCAGTAGTGTTGTGTATATGTACTAAAAATATTTACATTTAATCCAAAAGATATCAAACAATGGTAATGTTCAAATGATATTGATTTTCTTGAAGAAAACCAAATTTCCTTGGTTGACAGCAATTTTGCCTTCAACAACCTAAGTGCTCTTTTTGTACTGTCATTAATATATTTATGTACTCAAGGCAAAAAGGAAAGACTTTCATTTTCAGCAACATTGCTGAAGAAATAGTAGCAGCAGTACCTCTAGTAGCTGTGGCTCTTTCTTCCTAGCTGATAAATTTAAATGCTTCTCTAAAAAGCTGTAGTTTTTCTCTGTCTCTTTATCAAACTTCTTCTTTTCCTCCTGCAAGTAAAAAGGAATAAATTCAATATCATTCACTTAAATATGAAAATACAAGAACAATGTGTCTGTTCGCTTGTTAAAGCTGTAGGCAAGAGGTGTAGCAGAGCAGCAGTAAGGGAGTAAAAAACAAAATGCTATGTGCCCCCCAATAAATGAGAACAAGCAACACTTTAAATTATTTTTTTAATCGTGTCTGAGGGCCTAAACTGAATCAAAGGCCAGTTGCACTGTAATGACAGAAACTCTGTCATACTAACAAATGCTTGAGCTTTTCCAGTGTAAAAAAATCTACAACTATATTTAGTGTGACTTTATTGTGAATCTCATGAAGCTTAGTGGGTTTTTTTTTTTTTTTTTTAAAAAGCCCCTGCTCTTGGCTTCATGATTACATAAGAATCGCATCTTTAATTTTTAAAAAAAGGTGTATGTTTCTAGCCCTCATGGTGGCAGAGAAAAGCTTGAAAATATGACCCAAGTATACCCCAAAGGTTCAGAAACCAGAAAATAAAATTAATTCAATTAATCCAAGTTTCTAATGACCTCTTCCTAGCCAAAGCTCAGAACCAAGAGTCAATTCTCATCCTCCTCGACCTATCAGCCACCTTCAACACAGTGGACCATGCTCTTCTTTCTGAAATCATGTCTTCCCTTCGCACCTGTAATTCTGTCCTCTCCCGGTCCTCCTACCTCTCTCATCATTCTTTCAGCATGTCCTTTGGAGAAGCCTCCTCATTCCCCCGCTTCAACTTTCTGTGGGGGTTCCACCAAGCTCTCTGTCCTTGGTCCCCTTCTCTTCTCCCTCTACACCTGATCTCTGAGAAATGTCATCCGCAAACACAAATTCAACAACCATCTCTACGCTAATGACTCACAGACCTCTCTCGCTACCCCAGGCCTGTCTCCTCCAGTCCAAATTAAAATCTCAGCCTGTCTCTTTGACATCTCCTGGTGGATGTCTAGTCGCCAACTGAAGTTAAATCTGGCTAAAACAGCTTCTAATCCCCACTACTCCTCTCTCCCACCAAAGCCCTGCCAGCACTGTGAATACCACCACGATCCTGCCTGTTGCTCTGGCCTGTAACCTAGGCATCTCTTGACTCAGACCTCTAAGTCCTCACGTCTAGGGTATGTCTAAACCTTGCTGCTTCTTTCTGAAAAACTTCTCTAAGATGCGGACTATCCTATCAGCTAGAACTCTGGTCCAAGCTCTCATCAGCTCCTGTGTATATTACTGCACATCCTTCTCTCTTGCCTTGGCAAACACAATCTTGCCTTGCTCATATCCATTCAGAATGTTGACCCAATCACCCTGTCTTTGCATTCCTCCACTGGCTCTCCTTTCCCTATCACATCAAACATAAGCTACTTGTCTTCTCTTTCATGGCCTTTCAGGGTCTATGCCCTCTCCATCTCTCATTTGCTACTGAAATGTTGACTCTTGCCTTCCATCAGCCCATGATGCCAGCCTCCATAGACCACTTGTTAAATTTTCTAACAATCACATTTGTGCTTTCTCCTATACTGCCCCTCATGCTTGGGAGGAGCTCCTCTTAAAAACCTGCAAAATATACAGAAAAAGATAAAAATACTTTTATAAAGTGTATTTGAAAGTCTCTTCATAAAATTGTAGTCCACTTGTTCACAAAAAAAGCAGTCAGGTAATTCAATCTATGCCCCTTTGCACCTAACAGAACTACTTCCTACAGTTCCCACTAAAGTCTCATCTCATTAGCTTATTCATATTTCCTGGGGGCAGGGGGGAAAGCGCAGGACTAAGAGGCATCCATTGACATTTTAAAATCATGCACTAACTTGAGGAATCTGCAAATTAAATATTAAACAACCCCTGAAGTCCTTGATGCCACTGTCATGCACACCATTTCATTTTCTATTAAATCGTCTGACTTTTTGGAATGTTTAAGGCAGTGCAATATCCTGACTTCCTTCAATGGCTGAATGGGTCTTTTTCCTAATACACAACCTAATCCAAAGCCTACTTAAGTATTTCCACTGACCTCCATGGGCTGTGGCTCAGGTATATGCGGCCCATATTTCTTTTTCCTGAATCTCAGAAATGGGTGCAACCTGGAGCAATTTAACTACTAGATTTGTGTGCACAAATGCCACTTACACATGCAAATCAAAATGTTGCAGCATCCAAAATACTGCATTTACAAAAGTGACAGCCTAAGTATTAGTTATTTCAGATTTGTTGGAAATATGAATGTATAGGTCTAATGTAGCAGAAACAATTTCACAACAATCCTTCCCTTTAATCATTTCTATTTTTCTTGATTCAGTTAATTAGAGAGTCAAGTCAATACTAGGGCAACTGGCAATCAGAACAATTTTTGTGCTGTCTTGTTATAGGAGTAGTAACAATTAAATTTAATAAAAATATAATATAATATTGGGATCAAATTCTAAGAATGACGACAAGTTCTTTGCCACAAGATGCTAATTAAATTCAAATTTCCTACCACCCTATATTATTCTGAAAACAATCTCACATATGTATCTATTACAGGGTTCTCAAACTGTGGGTCATGACCCAAAGTGGGTTGTGACCCCATTTTTATGGGGTCACCAATGCTGGTGTTGGCCCTGGGCCCCAGCAAGTCTGAAGCCCAAGCCCCACTGCCCAGGGTAGAAGCCCTTGGCTTCAGCTTTGCCCTGCCCCCCCCCCGCCTAGAGTCTCAGTGGCAGGGCTCAGGCAGGGTCAGTCTTCTGTCCCCCCTCCTGGGGTCGTGTAGTAATTTTTGTTGTCAGAAGGGGGTCACAGTGCAATGAAGTTTGAGAACCGCTCATCTATTATATCAAAGACATATTGGTTATGATCTACTCACTGAAGTACTCACTAAATTTTCTCTTACACTCTTTCTGCTTTGTTCTTAATGACATCAGATAATATTCTGTTCCCTGAGCTGCATGACTTTGAGGAAACCTTCGTCTTATTTGAAAAGGAACTCTTTTAATCTGTTTAGGACCGGCCCACAAGCAAGGTTTTACAAAATGTAATGTTAATAAAACACTTAGGTTAGACCTAAGATATGGGTTTCCTATCTCATGGGGATCCTTTAAGCATACCATTATTCTAGACATTGTCCCTTTAATTAAACTCATCTAAAATTAAAGATGATGATATAGTGTTTGGGTCAATCAGACCCTTTACCAGAGTCAAGCCTAAACATGTAATTAAATTCTAAAGAGAGGAAGAAGCCAAAACCAAATAGATAAATTACTGAAGTGAAACAATGTAATAAATGGTTTCAGCCTCATTATAGACTATGTAAGATTAGCACATGGGAGGCTGGGGAGGAGGAGGGGGAACAGGAAGAATATAAAGATGTCATTGTGTTTACATATTACATTCCCTCGAGTGCTTAAGTATGTGTGCTTGCAAAAAAAAAAAAACAAAACAAAAAACTTACCTTCCCCATGTGCAAAACCCCACTGTACACTGTTTAAATTCAGGTTTGTTTGTTTTTTTCCAACTGTGATGCTTCTTTCCAATAGGTCAATTCGGTGAGGGCTCAGAATCAGACCTAATCTATCCAATTCAGACTCATTTATCCATAGGAGTAAAACTGTTAAATATTAAGCAGCGGTAATTTAAGGTGAACTAAACATTCAATGTTTGCTTTTTGTAGTGAGCATGTGTATTTTTCCTATAGCAAATATACTTACTGTTCTATATTCAGATGTAATAGTTCTAACTGTATTATATTTGGAGATGTTGATACTATGCAATATTATCTTTCCAATACCATAGCTAACATTTCAGCACTTCCATTATACTGGATATTTTTTTAAAAATTCCTGAAAAGTATTCTTCAGATCTCCATAAAACTGCTTTTTAAAAAAACATGTTCTAGTTAAGCTTAAAATATAGCACTATTCAGTTCTTAATATAGAAGGTGTTTTGTTCTAAATACATTTAAAATTCTACAGCAAGAGGCCAAATCCTGAAGTTCCCACAGTTTTTATTTTGTCCTTACACAGGTAAAACTATTTAAAGTCAATGTGAGGTTTGCCTAAATACGGACTGCAAAAAAATGGAGTAAGAGCTTAAAACCTGGCCCAAGGTCATCTATGTTGCTATTATGCTTGTGGAGAAATTACCATTTTGATAATGTTAAGAGACCCAGGTTTCAATCCCCTTGAAGAAAGCCATTGTGTGTTTATAGATACAGTACATATATTTATCATGACCCTGAATTTATACAAAGCTTTTCATCCAAAAAAAATCCTGAAGCATTTTTCGAATCTTGTGTACTGAAGGCGTATGTACTGGGGTCCTTTTGGCCACCACTGAAGTGCAGCCACTTCCAGGATGGAACATGTTAGCTGTTTAACAGTGCACAGTACTACTGTAGAGGTTGAGACAGGAAGTGAGGAATGATGTATCCAAATGAAATTGTATTGAGAAATTCAGGGGGGCAGAATGCAGTTACACAGTTGACAGGACAGAAGGGTTAAACACTGGTGAAAAGTGCCATGAGATTTTTAATGATCATAAATGATCATGAGCTCTCATCTAAAAGACAGCAACACCCTTTATCATCACAAATAGCATGCTGAGGTATTGGTTCAATACTGAACTTCGGCGGTCAGGGGCTAACTATGGCACATTGTTTTTCCCCCCATTAAAAGAGGCCCAATTACTGAGACAATTTTTTAAATATGCTAGACAAAACCCCTGCTTAGCTTGTGAGCTCTGATGAAACTCTCATGGACCCCAGAAGATTAAGTGAAGGCAGAACAGATGTTCTGTTTTAATTGTTTACAATCCAGGATAGAACATTTTCCCCTCATGTATTGTGAAGAGGTATTCTTGTTCTGAGTTTAAAGTGAATCGGGAAGCAACATTTAGAGACTCAGGGCAGGTCTTCACTACGGGGGGGGGGGGTCGATTTAATATACGCAAATTCAGCTATGCGAATAGCATAGCTGAATTCGACCTATCGGAGCCAACTTACCCCGCTGTGAGGACGGCGGCAAAATCGACCTCCGCAGCTCCCTGTCGACGGCGCTTACTCCCACCTCCGCTGGTGGAGTAAAAGCATCGATTCGGGGATCGATTGTCGCGTCCCGACAAGACGTGATAATTCGATGCCCGAGAGATCAATTTCTACCCGCCGATTCAGACGGGTAGTGTAGACCTAGCCTTAGTAGGTCTGTGAAGGCTAGGACTATAACAGAGTTTAAAAGAGAACTGGATAAATTCATGGTGGTTAAGTCCATTAATGGCTATTAGCCAGGACGGGTAAGGAATGAGTTTGGAAAAGAGAAGACTGAGAGGGGACATGATAGCAGTTTTCAGGTATCTAAAAGGGTGTCAT